AATGTGACTCTTCCCGAGTTATATGTACTTTCTAAGATTATTTAGACACCACTGACAAACGATGAAGGAAAACATCGTGAGGAAACCTGGACTTATAATTTTTAATTATAAGTTTGAAATCGCCAACCCGCATTGAGCAAGCGTGGTGATTAATATTCAAATCTTCTCCGTGTGAGAAGAGGCCTTTGATGCTGATGATGTATATAGCCAAAGTTTTTTAGAAAGATTATGTAACAACAAAATTATATTTCCTTTTATTTAGTCCTAAAATTGTACCTAAATTTTTCCTCAAGAGGTCGCTTCGAGGTCAAGGAGCGATTTCGCAGTTCATTTTAGAATTGAGGGAACGACAACACTTGGGTCTTGTTAGTGAATAAAATATTTCAAGGTTTTGTATCAAATACGTTTTTATTTTACTCGACAAGATAATTGTGAGGCACTCTTAGTAGGATTTTGTCTGCAGAAAATAGACATTCTCCTTTGAAATGTAGGTAGCTTTATTTTTTGTTTAAATAAAACGTTGCCCCACTTTAGAATTTTCTCCTGTGTCGTGGGTGCGCTTACAAGCATACAAGTTCACATACACCTAACACCCAGACCCGCAACAACAATCTGTGGATCACACAAAGAGTTGTTCCGTGCGGGAATCGAACCCGCAACTCGTTACGCGGCAGCCAGATGCCCAGCCAATGCGCTAATCGTGCAGTCATATATCGGGCCATTACCACAGCCTATTGCCTGCCTATTGCCATAGAAGGTTCAACCCCTATTACATGGGACTCATAACATAATACAGTGAAATGTAAGTGATACATTATACAGCTGCATTAATTAGGCAAAGGTGTATAATATAATAAGGAGAGCCCTCAGTTCTTGTGTTACCTCTAAGATTTTGAGGAACTTGTAACAGTGCACTGTTAGGCATTAAGAACATTGAAAAAATATATTATCTTTAATGAGACGCGTATCGTATATGATCGTACTAGCAAATTCCGCGCGTTTTCACACGCTCTGCTTAGCTCCTATTGGTCGTAGCGTGATGTTTTATAGCCTATAGCCATCATCGATAAATGCGCTATCTAACACAAAAAGAATTATTTAAATCAAACTTGTAGTTAGGGAGATTACCGCGTTCAAACAAACAAACAAAAAAACAAAATCTTTCGCTTTATATAATAGTATGATAGTAGTAGATATGAGGCTACAAAACATGACCAATAATATCAATCCCATGATACACTAAAGGTCATCGCAAACTAACGAGTACGGCTCCGGCACAGCGTTTTTTGCTTTGAAAACTATACAATAAGGTCGTAAATGCGGCGTCACAGCTTTTTTTCACTGACGTTATGAAATAAGTCATACAACATACGATTTAAAGTTTATATTTAAATGACGAGTTAATTGATGGGTTGGAGCCGTGCCGGTGACCTTAACTGTTTCAGGTAAATCACTCATTAGTAAAACGTCTCTGTATTCCTGAAGGATTAATCTGTTCAGTGCCTGAAATACGTCTCCTGAAAATACATAAATTATGTTACAGCACCTAGTTCAAGCCAAACAATAAATCTTGTATTAGTCCTGAATACTAATGTTTCAGTGTAATCCTTATTATATAAGTATTAGTTATTGTATAATCAAACTGGAAACTATGTACAACCTGTGTTTATCATATGAAGACATTTTCAGAAGGGATAAGGTGATTTGTGTTATTTAATGTTCGATTAACTAAGAATAACGCTTTACTCCCGAATATATTGAAAAATTGTCGTGGTGGCCCGGAGGTCTTGTCAGTCCAGACTCTGTGCTACTACTGAGTTTAGGGAACAGAGAGTATTTCCCTAAGATCAGAAAAGGAGGATCCTCCGACCAGGCGAGGTGATCGTGCCTGGCGGGCTTTCTGTCCAACGGTTGTTCGTTGGGATTTTCTTCTCGTGTCAATTCGCAAGTAAACTTTGCTTGTGCGATTTAGGATTTTGTGACGTCATCCGTTGACACTCTGAGATTTTTTTAAACCCAGTAATAATTTGCCCGACCTGAGAATCGAACCCAAGACCCCTTGCCCAGCAGTCGCACTTGCGACCACTCGCCAATGAAGCAGTCACCTAAAAGGCATGTGATGATAACGCACCCTGAGAACGAAAGTGACTCAACTCAAAATTGCCAATTTTTGGGAATAGGCGAAAATGTGTCCGTCGTATTAAGCATTTTCTGTTCATTTAACAATAACACTAAAACATGGCAACAAAAGTTATGAATTTCTTTTGAAATATATTTGTCTTGTCATGACAACTCACGGTGCAACACTGATTTCGTCACTTTGATTCGGGCGCAGGGGGAGGGAACGGTTGAGGGACAAAGAGACCGAAATATATCTCTATACTTTTCTTACCTTTATTGTATACTTTTTTGAGTCATTCTGTATACTTAACTCATTTAACCAAAATTTTGAAATCGGTCACTTTTGTTCTCAGCGTGCGATAAGTAAATATGCCATACTTCATTAAGCTTTATCTGAACTCTCAGTTTGTCTAAAATAAATCTCGCACTCGTCACTTCTGTGTTTTAAATAAAACTAGGTAAGATTCTATTTCAGTCGATCTCAGCAAAATAGAGAGACCCGCATCAAATAATTACTGTTGAAGGATCCCATTTTCAGCCATGAAATGGTTCTCTCAGTGAATCGGCTTTGCTCGGATAATTCAATAGGAAGTAGCACGTCGGAATCGAATTGACGACCCCTATGTGTTTAACTAGATTACGGTGTACAGGCTCCGACTAAAATCATTTGTCACATCTGATTGAGAATGTATTCAGCCATTTTAAACGAATTTGTGGTGGGAGTTGGTCCTGAATTTGATTCTCTATCATGCTTAATGGCCGAGTGGTAGCAAGTGTGAGTACCGGGCAAGGGGTCCCGGTTTCGATTCCTGAGTCAGGCAAGGTATTAAACTGTCAAACACCAAGCGGTCACCGGTGACCCCAACCTATTGTTCTATAATTGTGTCTATAATGACGGTACTCGACGAGTTAAAGGGTATTTTTTTTTAAATTATCAACTATCTCAAAATCCCTTTTTGACCAATCTAATAAGACTCAACTATAATGTAACATAAAATAGTCTAGCATTGTAAATTGAACTTAATTTCGTTCCTTCTAAACCTTATTTTTTAATACGTATCGTCTATTTTTATATTATACTTGTCTCAAAATCATTGCAAGATTTTATCGTTGGTTGTACCTTTGATTAGGGGTGTATCGGAAGCGAATATTGAATTGGGATTAATTTGAACGAAGCGGTTCAAAATTATAATGTAGCTAAAGTCCTTTTAGGGGTCCATACCTCAAAAGGTAAAAGGGTTCTATACAATCATTTCATTGCCCGTCCATCTGTCAAGACCCTTTTCGATAGAAATACGTGAAGGTATGATGTTGAATTTGGTCTGAATTTTTTGCCTTATACTTTGTAACAATTTCTAGATACACCTAAGATTATGTATGTTCGAGGAAATCAAAAGAATAATAACCAAAATGGTGTTTTTAAATCTCATAATTTTATTTGTATTTTTCTAAATATCACATAAAATCACGCCCATTATGCCAATGTATAATGTAACACCCACTTTTCACTATTTATGTTATGAGTCCCATGTAATAGGAGGTGAGCCTATTGCGATACACCGGGCACAATTCCAGACTCCGTGAGACTGTGATTGAGATTTTTTTTAAAAACTCGGTAATACTTTTCCCGTTTTGGGAATCGAACCCGAAATAACCTGCCCGGCAGTTGTACTTGCAACCACTTGACTAACGAGGCAGTTTTGTAAATATTCCATTTTTTTAAGTTATATCCATCCTATACAGCTTCATTCAAGTTCAAACGATTTTGACTAAATTAAATCAAGTGCAAGATCAAACAAACACAATGATATTTTGATCCCCATTAAATCATAATTTATAGTTTCCGAGCCCCATAACAAACAACTGTTCTTAATTAACAAATAATCAAAGGGATGATTATCATCTCAACTTCTAACCATAACTCCAATACATCATGATACATAGTTTCATGGCCAATTTCCATTTTCAATCAATTTAATACCAGACGAGGGCGAACCTCGATATTTAGTTAGCAAAACAATTTCGCTGCCAAAAACCTCACATCGTCATTGCCAAAAAAGGTGATTTTGATCTCTTGCCAAACTATAACGTTTCCATTTTAACTTTACATTTGATCCAATCGCGTTTACATAGAAAATTATGTTACAAAATGTCGAATCGATCCAGTATCGCGGATACACTAGGTATAAAACTGTTCAGACAATAAAACACAAGTCCATTCCGTTAATTAGATCGCGGAATAATCAATTAACCCGGCGAAATAGTGAAGGCTTCCACCGGCAGTGAAAATATTTCTGTAAAACAATACAGAGTCGAATTGAAGACTAAAAACGACGTAAAACTCATTCGAATGCATGAAATTCGTATCTGAATGCTCAATTTATTTTTGCTTATTTGCATATCACGCTTCGCGATGCAAATTAAAAGGACTCCTGTCAAACACGGCCCGAATTTCGATTATCGAAGGACAATATTGAAGTAACGGTTATTAGGCTGATTGTGTTTGACTATCCCGTATCAATAACGCAGTAGCTTTGCCTAAAAATCGAAAAAAATAAATCGATTTCAATTCGATAAAAAACTCACGATGTTACGCCAATTAATTAAGCGTCTAAGAAAATCTGAAAATGGAACAAACCTACCGATCTAGCCGAAAGCTGACGTCCACCAATTCGAAACTCAAACTTCGACTCACCGAATACGCCACACACAACACACGAACACTTACGCACCTTCGCGGAAAAAATAAAAAAACTTAAACTTAGTACTCTGTCGAAATAAATCTAAAAATAGTGGAAAAGAACAGAACTTTTTCAATTAAACTTTGAGGATAAAATTTTGATCAAGATTTTTAAATAAGGAACTTTGATGATACATACGCGCGCGGTCGCAGTGATGGTCGAAAATCGGACAGCGCCCGACTGTTCAGGTCGCGGCACGAAACGCGAATGAGTGTTGGGGCGCCGCGCGGTCCCTTATACCGACGCTCTCAACCCCAAACATGATGGCGGTGGGCGGCACTTTATAGAGCTGATGATTTAAAAAAAATATTTTAATGAAAAAGTTAATTATAACTCTTTGTTGAAAAGCAATGTTTATAAGCTATAAGCATTAATATTTAAAACCCCAACTTACTATAAAAAATGCTCTAATTATAATTATTTTATTACTAAAATCGTACAACATTACCAAGCCTTGGCAAAACTGCAACATGAAGCAAAGCCATAACTATTCCCATCGCTAAATAAAACTGTAACCATAAATACAACCTAATAAAAATGCAACTTTATAAACTCTGTCCTATTCAGGATTACATTACAAAAAAACAAAACATATCAACATTTTATAACTTTAAAAATACCTTTAAAAGTTACAGATACTATTATCATCTCTATATAAATACCGCAGAGTGCCATCCTTGTCGCACGGTGGCGGGTTGTCAACAAAATGTTATTAGTCGTCATCTGCGGTTGCCGCTTAACTGGAAAAATTCTCGAGGAGTTGAGTGGAAAACTATAGGTTAACTTGCAGGCAACGAGCGTGGAAGATTGAGCCAACTAGGGACAAACTTTAAGTGAATTACTGCCTGTAAAGTAGAAAAACAGACTACTGAAGATAGAAGATATATTTCTTGTTGATTTGCTGTTCATTATTAGGATTGAATTAAGATTAAAGTTTTGTTACTTTAGATGTCGTTACAAAGTGAATACTGATTTTTGGTATTTAAGGTATAAGAAATTGTATATCTACCTCAACTGTAGATGTATTTCAATGGTAGACTATTTTTTCTTCCTTTTTGGGATTATCTTACGTTTAAGTATGAATACTAAAAAGTGTGTGAGAGCCATGCTTCGGCACGAATGGGCCGGCTCGACCGGAGTGATACCATGGCCTCACAGAAAACCGACGTAAAACATGTAAGTAAAACACAGTGGCTCGTTTTTATAGACTGATTTATGACATAACATACAGACATAATAGGTAGACCAACAGATGGCGGTAGCAGTAACAAGCTACTACAATCATAACATTATTTTGTTACATTAACACCTCCGCTTAACAAAATCATGTTTACATAATTACATATATTATTAACGGGCAATACACCAAGCATTTTAGTAAAATATTTATGCTTTATAGCACCCAAGCTCTTTGTAAAAATATCAGCTGGCATATTGTTTGTTTCCAAATAATCTACTTTTATAAACATGTTTGCCACTGCCTCCCTAACAAAATGATATCTAATATCTATATGTTTGGACCTTCTGTGATACACTGGATTCAAAATTAACTTTTGTGCGCTTTGACTATCATTATACAAGGTAATGATTTCTGAATTGCCTAAAATTTCATACAAAAAGTTCTTTAAATAAATAGCTTCTTTACTAGCTTCTGACATGGCAATGTATTCTGCCTCAGTTGAGGACAACGCAACATTTCTTTGCTTCCGACATTCAAAAGATATAACAGAGCCTGACAATTTAAAACAAAACCCTGAAAAAGATTTTCTATCATTTATATCTGAACCCCAATCGGCATCAACAAAACCTTCAATACAAGATTCATCTTTAGAAAATACAAGACCATGATTTTTAGTCCCTTTTAAATATCTTAAAATTCTTTTTAAGTGCTTCCAATGGGTTTCATCATATGAATTGTTGAACTGGCTAAGATAACAAACACTATAAGTAATATCTGGCCTGGTTAGCACAGCTAAGTACATTAAATTGCCAATCAGTTGCCTATACGGAATACTTTTATTACAATTTTCATTCTGAGTTTTCTCTAAACTTAAATTAGCCTCCATAGGAGTTTCAGCAGTCTTACAATGTGACATATTGTATTTTTTTAACAAAGTTTTTATATATTGTTCCTGATCAACTGTTATTACATTTTTATACATGTTTACTCTTAAACCTAAGCATTGCTTTATCTGACCCAAATCTTTTATTTTAAATTTACAACTCAAATCCTGAACTAATCGGTTAGTTGCAATTTTACAATTTGAAAACACAAAAAAATCGTCAACAAATAGAGCAATTATTACTTTAACATTTCCATCAAATTTTGTAAATAAACAAGGTTCATATTTAGACTTTGAATACCCTAAAGTCATCAAATAATCATTTACTCTTTGATACCAAGCTCTCGATGATTGTTTGAGTCCATAAATGGCACGTTTAAGCTTTAACACTTTATTCTTATCATTACTATCTCTGTAATTTATAGGTTTTTCCATATACACACATTCATTCAAGTAACCATTGAGAAAAGCCGTAGTTACATCGAGATGACGTATATCTAAATTTAATTTTACTGACAATGAGAACAACAACCTTAAAGTAGTATAACGTAGCACTGGGGAGAATGTCTCATGATAGTCTATACCTGCCTTTTGCGAGAAACCTTTTGCCACAAGTCTAGCACGATAACGCACTTCACCAACACTATCATATTTTTTTTTAAATACCCACTTGCACTGCACTACAGTAGAGTCACGAGGTTTGTCAACAAGTTCCCAAGCGTCATTCTTTCTGAATGATTCGAGCTCTTCCTCCATGCTCTCTCTCCAATGTTTGCTTTCCGGTCCATTTAAAGCTTCCTCGAGTGTAATATCTGTTACATTGTGATCTTCTGGCTCTGTAATACACAAATTGTTATAGCCAAATCTATCAGGTATTTTTCTCACTCGTTTGTCTGTAACTTTTTGATTCACGTTTATGATTGACTCATCTGATTCTGATGCTGTATTAGAAGTATCACAGCTATCATATGTGTCACTTACCGAAGAAGCATCTGGTACATACGTGATATCCTTCTCATCAATATCTGTGTTATTGAAACCACTTTCCTCCTCTCCTTCCTCATGTTCCTGATCCTCCGCTGAATCCTTGCATTCAATGGGGATATTCACTGTATTCTCAGCTTTCTCCATAATTATGATGTCTCTGCTTGTTGTGACTGAGTTATTTTCTGGGTCATAAACCCTATAGCCCTTCACATTCTCTGCATAACCAACCAAAATGAGTTCTCTGGCCTTCTCATCCCATTTTAACCTCTTCTCTTTGGGAATGTGCATCATAACTTTACTTCCGAAAATACGAACATGACTTAAGTTGGGCTTGTTCCCTGTCCAAACTTCATAAGGAGTCATATCATTCAACCCGGTAACAACTGACCGATTTCTTAAATAAACAGAGGTATGAATGGCTTCTGCCCAAAACTTTTTGTCTAAACACGCATCAAAAATTTGACACCTTGCCTTTTCCACCAAAGATCTATTCATTCTCTCACATACACCGTTTTGTTCTGGCGTGTAAGGGGTAGTTCTTTGGTGAATTATGCCTTGCTGTTTCAGATATTTATCAAAGTCTTGATTGCAGTACTCACCGCCGTTATCTGTCCGAAAAACTTTAATTTTCCTGTTTTTCTGGTTCTCAACCATGGACTGAAATTCTTTAAAATATTTAAATACCTCAGACTTTGTCTTCATGAAATAAATGAAAGCCATTTTACTGTAGTCATCCACGAACAATACATAGTATCTGGATCCTCCAATGGATGCATTTTCCATAGGACCGCACACATCTGAATGTATCAAATCTAGTACATTTTCTGTGTTGGATGAGCTAGGCTGAAAAGGATGCCTTGTCTGCTTTCCTTTACAACACACTGTACACTTAGATTTGTCTATGTTTGCTATATCTGTGTATGAGATTCCTTCAGCAGCTCCATTTTTCATTTTGTTCATACTGGCATTGTTAATGTGCCCCAAACGTCGATGCCAAGTTTCACTGGATGTTTTGGCTGTCGCTGCCAATATCTGTTCCACATCCTTAGTGTGTAATCTGTACACACCATCAACTTGTTCTGCCTTTCCAACTAGAGTACCTTGTTGATTGTAAATGTAGCAACATTTCTCTTTGAACACTACATTATTTCCGTTCTCAATCAATCTACTCACTGAAAGCAAGTTTGTCGTTAAATTGGGTATGCACAATACTTCGGAAACTGTGATGTTGTATTCTACATCATTTACAACTGTAATTATGTTTACATCACCCGAACACAGCACCGGAACACACGTTTTGTTCGCAACTATGATCTCCTTGGTTTTATGTTTATAAGATGGATTCACAACGTATTCTTTTCTCGCTGTCATGTGTTTACTGGCCCCGCTATCGACGTACCAATTATCGCAATTGAATTTTCCACTCAAAAAGATAGCACTAAAGGCATTGGATTGTTTTCTTTTGCTTGTTTCGGAATTTGTCGGACACTGATTTTTATAGTGACCGGTTTGTTTACATCTATAACACTTGATGACTTTGACAGGTCTTGACGTTAATGTTTGTCTCTGGTCATAATTAGTGTTGCCATTATATTTAATTTTTTGTCGATTATTCGCAGCAAAAGCAGTCTCCGAACTGGAAACGGAAACAGATCCAACTTCACTACACATGTCCATGAGCTTCGTTTTTATGACATCTGCACTTATTTCTATGCCCGAATGTTCTATGGCCATAAGCATAGGACCATATTTATCAGGTAATCCTGCCAACATTAATGCACCGATCCACTCATCTGATATTTTGAAACCTGTACCTTGTAGTCGCTGGCTTGTTTCAACTATCTGAGTTACGTACTGGGTCATCGAGTCACAGTTTTCAAGTCGAATGTTGATAAGTTTACGCAGCAAACCAATTTTTCTTGTATAGCCGGTATCATCGAACAAATTCTTCAAATTTTCCCACAGATCGTAGGTTGTTGCGGCGTGTTTTATGTGCACATACAATGATGGATCAATGGTAAGCACTAGTTTCGCTTTAGCTTTCGCATCATCACTGATTTGGGTTTCAGTAGATGAAGCCGCTGCTAACCTCTGCGTAATGGCGGATGCCATGTTTTCAAGCACCAACACATTTTGCACCGCAAAAC